CCCCCCCCCCCTACCACCACCCACCACATACATCTTCAGCTCGCGTTGTCCCCACATTTGTTTCCCTTCTTCAGTCTTACTCTTTGTTTTCTTCTGTCATCTGTGATCGCCCCCACCTTTTAACTGGTCGCTTTTATTAAGGACAAGCGGGCTAACCCAGATTTAGGGGGTTTCCAGAAATTTTGACCTACACCAAAAGTGGGCATTGCCCTACATTTGGTTTCATCGGTGTGTATATTTGTTTGGTTATAGAGAAAACTCTCCTTGTCTTTTAAAGAAACTGAACAGGGGGCAAAAACTTAACCTTAGATTTTCTCAAAACAGCATTTTTCAGGATAGCCCCCTTGTGCTTAAAAGCGACCAACGTGTGTCCATTTCTGTACATCTCCCTTGAATAACAGTCGAGCCTGTTCAAGAAGACCACCAAATTGTTGAGAAGGAAAATGTTCGTCTTAAACAGGGGGCCTTCTTAATTTAGTCAATGTCGTTATAGTTAAAATAATGCATGTATATTTTTAAAAATGTAAGGGGGGGAGTTGTGTTTTATCTTAAACAGAAGATCGTTTTATCGGGTTCGACTGTTTATATATCTCACAGATATAAGAAAGAGGATAGAATAATCTTAAGTTTATTTATAATTTGTTTAAAACAAGCAATTCAATATTTATTTAGTTATCAGGAAAGCTGAAAACTATAGCTTACTAAAGCGTTTGAGACATTCTTACCCCAATCGTCTTCTTGTTTATATTATTTACACTTCATGATGTTCCTGTTCAAATTACACTGGTGACACTTTGTTTCTATATAAAGCATTGGCTATTAGCCAAGACTAATTAAATCGATAGAGCTGCCTTTCAACCTTAACGAACTCAGCCCATATTGTATCTATCACGATCAACAGTAAATTAATTATTCTTTTAACCCTATCCGTACGTCGTGTTTTACTATCGTATCCATACGACGTAGGAACTCTGTGCCACCACTTTCGAAAGAGGAAATTTACTCATTAATCCTATCTGTACGCTTTGCATAGCAGTTTGTCAAAACTATTTTTTAAAGAAATACTGAAAGTTTCAAAGAGATCTTCGCACTAGAAGTATTCTAAAATGTGACGAATACCACCGCTTG